ATTCTGTCCGTTCAATTTCTTTATAAAAATCTCGGTGTGTTTTGGTCATCTACGCAAATTTTGCATTGACTTCCTTCTCGAGTCTCGGCTCTCCCGTCCGCAAGCCACTATTCCAAGAAAACTCTATGAATGGAGACTGTAGCAAATTGCAAAAAATTTCAGGCTTGGCCCAATTTTTTGTGGGCCTAGGCGGGCTGTCTACTAAAAGGGGTCTAAACACTTGTTTACGACTTTTGAAAAGTCAGAGATTGAAAACATAAACCTCTTACTTCTAGTTTTATAGTGTGAAAACTTTTTGAATTTAATAATTTTTATCAAATTTTAAGTTTTTTTTTAAAAATTATTTTGTATGAATTTATAATTTAAAATTTTTGCAAAAGTTCTGCTCATGTAAAACTTTTACACAAGTTACAGGCTTTTGTAAACTGGGTTTTGGGGTTTCACTTGTGTGCTTGCATTTTATCCTTTTTATCTAGTAACTTGCAAAGGACTGATCCTCATAGTCGATAATTCACTTATAAAATTTTTGCAATAGCCAAATTCTGTTGACTTTCCTCATGCACCCAAACGGCGATGGCACTATTAGGGATTTATTTCGATTCCCACCCATAAGAAGGATAGACTATAGAGATTCAAGCCCGTGTTTTTGGCAAACTGGAATTTTGAACCACTGCGATGGAAAGAGGTGCATGCACATTTGGGACCAGATAAAAAGGAAAAATATCATGGTGCATCAAATAAGTAAACACTCACTAGAACAGTTCAATGGATTTGTTGTGTTTTATGCTAGCCAATCCTTTAGCCCATGATATAGCACATTTAGCTTCTGATGATTTTTCTACTGTTAACTGGGTATGTCTTCACCGCCTTCAATCTGTGTACCCTGAAGTTTCTTTAATGGAAATTCATGAAGTGAAATCCATGGATTGAGTGCAAAATAAAACCATTGCTTCCATGTCATCCCATCTTCATCCCAACATGGAAGGAGTTTTTATTTTTTATTTTTTGCAGTCAATCCATAGAACACTGATGAAATTAGAAATGCTTTGTATCAGAAAACTATCTGATCTCGGATATACATGAAAATATTTTCATACTCAGACATATGTATATCTTTGAGAAGGTGGCGAAGGACCAAATTTAAATAATGATGTCACAACGAGCGTGCAAACAATCACAAGCCAAAGAGTCAAATGCATACAATTGTTAAATGGTCCACATCTAAATCAGCACTTTTGTTCTACTACCTTGAAGCAGTAAGATCCAATCTACAGAATTTACAACTGGGACATGCGATTTCTAAACCAAAGAAATAAAGATTCAGCGACCATGGCAAAAGAGCGCCATTTGAACACGATCTTGACACTTAACCCTGTTTGACATGTTAAAGTAAAATATAAGAGACAAAAACAACATTTAAGAGACAGTGAAACCTGGAAACTGAAAAATATAAACTCATATTATGAACACCAAGCAAATAACCCAAGCCATTTTATCCAGATGAGTTTACTGTTCACAGATTAAGGAATAAGTACATCAAAGATCTTGAATTTTGACCTAAATATTCATAAAATAATCATTGCAACCAGCAGTGTCTCTTTTACTTGAAGAGCCATTTCTTTTGTAAGGACAACTTCCCTTCCAACATTTCCATTTGTGCATGATGTAAAAATTGTCCTCAGGCATAATAACAATGTAAGGAAACAGAACAAAGGAGAACACATACCATTGTGTGATTCTACCATGCAAATGCTGGCAACACATATGTTGGATATGCATCATATTTGGCTGCAAGGGCCTGTACAGAAGATAAATCTGCAACTTGCCCAAAACTACTGATTCCAAGCTCAGTTGCATGGATCCCTCCAGTGATAAATGCCGAAGCGATTCCAGCCTGATTTGCACCCTTAATATCATGATGAAGGGAATCACCCACAGCTATAGAATCAGAAGCATCCACACCAACCATTGCCATAGCTGATTTGTATATTATCTGATGAAGATTCAAAAAGGAGTAAATATAATCTTTGGAATCCATTTCACTTCAACCCCAAACATGTGATGTAAAGATAAACTGCAAAGTTAGAAGGGAAGGAATATATTGCAAGGGAAATAAGAAACAGATCATATTACCTTATCAGGCTTCCCCATCAATTTCACTTCACCCCCAAGCTTTTCATATTTGGCAGCCAATGTACCTAAAACATAGACACTAGCATTAATCCATTAAACCAAGAAGCCATAAAGGGGATAACTATAATTAGAGGCTGATTCTCACAAAGAAAAGTAGAACCCACAAAAAGGTACTTTGACACATGAACAGAAAAGAAACTCCGCTACCACAGAAAATGCTTAGGAGGCTTATGGTTCAAAGTTGCCAGCCTAGATGGTGTGTTTCCCTCTATATGGCATTGCCACATTCTACTTAAGAAGAATCAAACAAGTTAAATCAGACATCTTTACCAGGCATGATAATTAAAGCTCTAGCCTCGACGGTCACGAAGTCTGGATTAGCTACAATCATGGGAATCCT